AATTTAAATTAAATAAATAACGAAGATAAAATTAATACAGTTATTACAGATAGTGCTGCAAATTATGTTCGTATGAAAATTATACTTGTATAACAATATCCTAAAATTATAGCTTTACCATGTATTGCATATGAATCGAATCTTTTAGTTGGTGATATGTTGAAGCATACATATATGAAGTCAATCATAAGTTCTGCTATTAAAATTATTGTATTTTTTTTGAAAAAGCATTCAGGCTATTCAAATTATTCAAGCTTGCTCTAGTGATAACACATTTAGATTTACTCTTCTAACTTTTACTCAATGGAATTCTTTTTTTACTTCATTACAACAATTACAAAATAAAGAGCAATACTTAAAAGATATGGCATATGAAATGGAATTCCAATTTGATAAAACTATTATGTCAATATTAAAAAACAATGAATTCTGGAATAATTTAAGAGTTATAATTTATATATTAAAGCCATATTCATTTACTCCTATCACCTTAAAGTCTCAATATGCTACACTATCTGATGCAGTTCACTTATGAGCTCAAACACAAATAAATACCAATATGATTGATGCCAAAGATTTTCAACTTTATGCTAATACACATATTCAACATAGATGGAATCGAATATATAATCCAATTTTGCTTATTTGTTGGTCACTTCATCTGAGATATGTTCTTACAAAAACTATTCGTTCAGAACTTATAACTATTATAAAAAAAGAATCAAGTATTTTATTTGAAAGCTTATTTTCTGATAAAGATATTAGAAAATTTTATATGCAATTAATTGATTGGAATAACAAAGCATATCCTTTTGATTTCGAAGGTAATTGGGATGAATATTTGGTTAGTAATCCACTATATTTTTGAAATAATTTACAAAATGAAGTGTTAGAATTATCAATTTTTGCTGCTTGCATAATGTCAATACCTCCTACTTCAGCTGAATATGAACGTTTTTAGTCAGTTATATCAAATATTCATTCTTTGCGATGTAACAAATTAACCAATAGACGTGCAAGCAAATTAACTTGTATTCGTTGGCACATGATTCAAGATGAAAATATTAAAAATCATGATGCTAAAAAGTCTCAAGCTATTCAACAATTTAACAATAATGAAAATGAAAATGCTGATAATGAATTATTTGATCTAGAAAATGAAGATGAGTTTTATAATTTAGAACAATTAGAAAATCTGGAAGAAAACATAATGAAACCAATTGACAATATCGAAGAGTTTAATGCTAATGATGAAATTATTTACAACGAAGCAACTAGTGAATATAGTACTCAATCTTTATCTCAAGTCAACTTTCAGTATAAAAATACTTTAGAAAATTGGTTTCTTCTTGAAAAATTTGACAGCATTTTGCTTTAAAAAATTATGATTATTTTTCCGTAGAATTACTACACATATTTAGCAGTAAAATTTTTGCACAATAACAAGCTATAATTTATATACAAAAAGTTAATATATCTTATGCTAGCATATAAATAAAAAATTATAAACTGCTTTCTGTATTTGATTTAATATATATCGATATAGCATATTTGATTTTTAAAATTTACATATTATTACTTATTACGTAAAAAATGATAAGAAATAATTAATAATTATAAATAATAATACATTACTAAACTTGCCCATCTCTAGGTTAATCTGCAATCGTTTGACATCCGATTTAAATATAAGTATTAACAAGTATTTGACTGTCAAATTTTTGTTTGATTGTGTCGAGCATTAGGCCGGAGCTAGGCCAGAATTAAAGATAACTATCATTTGCTTAATAATTACATTTTATACTTTTAGCTAAAAACCATAACCTACTTTTTTAGTGGTTACTGTGTTTTCGTGATATGCATATTCTAAAATAAAACATAAATATTAAACAGCAAATCAAGTATCATATTAAATTCATATTACGATAATATTAATTTCTTAAGTTAGACAGTTATGTTTAAACATAACTCGTCGTTTAACGACAGATCTTACATCTAGTCAGAATTAAGACTTTACTATATGTTAAATGGTGTTTCAAAAATAAGAAAATTTAAACATACCCCTTTTAATAGATCATATCCCACTAGTTACAGGATAATTTAATATGAAATACTGTATTAATTTTATCTTCGTTATTTATTTAATTTAAATTTGAGTTTTATCTTTTTAGCTGCTGGCCAGTTATCATCCAATGTTCATTACTGTATTTACAGTCAGAAAGATCTAATGTAGTCAGTTGCGGTATGTTTCAAGAATTAAGCTAATATTTCAATTGCCTCAAAATTTAGTTCAAAGAATGAAGTCTAAAGAGTTTATAGTGGTGTTCTTATAAAGTTTTTCAAATACATTTTATTATAAACAGATACATCAATTCCGTCAAACATTTAAGTAACCTCGATATAATGAAGCTCTGGAGCTAGAGTTTTTTTTCATTATATCTAAACTTTATTAGTAGTTTCGTTATATCAGGGCTAATTTAAACATAAAAATTCGAAATTGTTATATCGAGGTTCGTTATATCGAGGTTATACTGTATTTATTTGTTCGTAAAACATTGATCAAAAGGCGCTTATAAGACCGACCGGAAATTCTTGCATAATAATCAGCATCTATATTTTCACCCGTCCTCTTTAAGCAAGAGCGAGTATATGTGGTTCGAACAATAGTCAACAGATGTGACATAATTCGGGAAAATAATTTAAAAGGTATTAATGAAGCTCTCCAAAACTCAATTTCAATAAACATGCTCGCTCCATAATATTGGTACAGTACAATTATACATGGGTGCCTAAATTATTTTCGAAAAATTGTATTTTCGGCAAACATTTCGGCATTGCTAAATTTTTTATATGAACCCCTTCGAAATAAATATATTATATGATGTATTTTGATGAAAGGTGTTAAAAAAATTTCGGCAATAATTTCGGCTGCCTAAATGCCGTAATTACTTTTTAATTAAGATGGGCAATTTAGGCACCCATGTATAAGTACAATAATTCCACACTAGTGACGATTTACAAAATAAAATTCTTGATTAATATGGAGATAATTAATTCACCAAATAGGTAAAGCAGTGAGAATAACGGAAATTCGATGTTGTATATGAACACTGTTTTAAAAAAGAAATAAGGCTTATCGTTATTGTTATATTTATTTAGCATAAAAAAATTTGCAATAAAGTTCATAAAAATTTGCCTATGAAACTTCGTTTTCTAATCTAATTTAATATCAACTAACTCTTAAGCTAACGGTGAATTCTTTTTACAAATTTTTTAAATGTGTGATGCTGAGGCCCTAGAAAAGAGAATGTCCCGATAAAAATTTTGAGAGTGAAATAACCGAAATGTAGCCAAAAAATTATTAATACTTGTCATGAGCAGTAAACTTTTATCAAATTTTGAAATTTAATAGACTACGTATTGGGAATAGCTCAAACTACATGACATTTGAAATATCTACAGCTAAATCATAAGATTGATTTTAAACATTTACCACAAATTATACACTATTTTTTATATTATAAAATATTTTTCACTTCATTTGTCCATAAAATTTTTTAACATAAAAATTCATTATATTAGAAATGAATTACAACAAACTAAACCATGACTGGTTTTAGGCTTCCAATTTCAAATCGGGAGTATATTTTTGAATACCTATGCTTTTGGTATAGTGATCAAGGTATTATAATATATACATTATTAAAGAAATTATATTATTGTTCTTGCGAATATCCTCTTTCAAGTCTGTTGCTTCATTATAATTAAGTAAATCTTTGGAAATTACTAAATAAGTAAGTGTGGTGTTTATGCTAAGGGCTTCCACTAATGCTTTTCCTCCTTCAAAATCAAGCCGATTATAATCAAGCATTAAAGATTTCAGTGTGGTGTTTGTATAAAGTGCTTTTGCTAACGCTTTTATTCCCCTAGAACAGATTTTATTTCTTCCTAAATTTAAAGTGGTTAAAGTGACATTTTTACAAAGCGCCTCTGCTAATGCTTCAGCACCCTCAGAGCCAAGTTGATTATAAAAAATGGATAAAGAAGACAGAGTAGTATTCTCGCGAAGAGACTTTGCCAATGCTTTTCCTCCCTCAGAGTTAACAGAATTTTCATCAAGTTTTAAAGAAATCAAAGTAGTGTTCTTACGAAAAACCTCGTTTAATTTTTTTATATTCTCATAACCAAGATTATTACAAGAAAGATTTAAAGAAGTCAAAGTAGTGTTCTTATGAAGAGCTTCTATTAATGTTTCTAATTCTTCAAAGCCAAAGTTATTACTAGAAAGATCTAAAGAAGTTAGCGTGGTATTTATGTGTAAAGCCTTCGCTAATGTTACTCCTTCAGAGCCAATTTTATTATATCCAATTTTTAAGGTATTTAAAGTGGTATTTTTGCAAAGAGCCTCTGCTAATGCTTTTCCTCCTTCAGGACCAATATGATTATAAGAAATATCTAAAGAAGTTATAGTGGTGTTCTTGCAAAGTACCATTCCTAATAGTTTTCCTCCCTTAGAACCAAGATTATTAAAATAAATCGTTAAAGAAGTTAGAGTAGTGTTCTTACAAAGTGCCTTTGTTAATGCTTCTGCTCCCTCAGGACCAATCTGATTAAAACGTAGATCTAAAGAAGTTAAAGCGATGTTTTCACAAAGACATTTCGCCAATTCTTCTACACCTTCAGAACCCAATTTATTGTGACTAAGATTCAAAGAAGTTAAATTAGTGTTCCTGCAAAGTGCCTCTGCTAATGCTTTTCCTCCCGCAGGACCAATTTTATTAAGGCAGATATTTAAAGAAGTTAAGGCAGTATTTTTATAAAGAATCTTTGCTAATACTTCTGCACCTTCAGAACCTAAATTATTATTTTGAAGATTTAAAGAGTTCAGAGTAATGTCCTTACAGAGCGCTTTTATTAATGTTTTAAAATTTTCAAACCCTAATTTACAGTCAGAAAGATCTAATGTAGTCAGTGTGGCATTTTCATCAATAATCTGAGCTAATAGATCGATTTCCTCAAAAGTAAATTCGAAAGAATGAAGTTTTAAAAAGTTCATAGTAGTGTTCTTATAAACTTTTTCAAATATCACTTTATTGCAAATTGATGCGCCAATTCTTAAATATTTAAGTTTTTTACTTGTTCGTAGAAATGTTGAAATTAAAGAAAACCTAATGGCGCTTATACGATCGGAAATTCCTTTGGGATAATTATATCTATAAGAACTATAATATGTATAAGATCTATGAAATCCAACATCATGACATTCATCATTGTGCCCATCCTCTTCAAGCCAGGATTTAATACCTTCATTAAAGCATTCATATATTTTGTACGAACAAAAGTCAATAGATGTAATGTAACTTGTGTACTCAAATAAAGGCTTTGGATAACTTGGGAGGATAATTTTAAAAGGGATTAATAAAGCTTGTTCTTCAGCACTTAATGCTAACAGACATATTCTTATAAATCTTGCATCGCCGAGGTATTTTGTTGGTTCGCTCCATAATATTGGTACGATAATTCTACACCAGTGGCGATTTACAAGAAGACATGAAAATAAAATTCTAGGATGAATACGTAAGTAATTAAATATCTCTAAGAAACATTCGTTCGGTAGTGTTATCATTTTAAAATATTGAAATTTTTAGAAAAAAAAAACGGCACATTCACTTGAAATTGGGGAAAACCAATCTGCACTGCATACAGAAATTGTCTAAAATAGGACGTATTTGTATATTTCACTGGCCAATCAAATTTCAAAACCAGATGCAGGGACACTGAAGTTTCGGGTTTCATGTGATCTAACCAAAAAATAAAGTATTTGAGAACCCGAAAATCATGGGCCCAAAATTTTAGATAAAGTCTTGTCGGAAGCTTTAGGAACGAAAATTGGGTTATTTGATTGGGGACGAAAAGTATGAAATTTTTAAATAATTTATATTCCAAATAATTCCAAATATATAAAATTTTACCCAAATATTATTCAAATTTTAGTCTATATTTAAATTTTTTATCCAAATTTATCCAAATTTTAATTAATACCCAAATAAAATTTGCAATTTAGTATCCAAATTTTTGCGGGTCCCTGACTAGATGTGACGCTTTCTACACACTAATAAATGCTTCTACATCATCAGAATCTAGTCAATTATAAGAAAAATTTAAAGAATTCAAAGCAATGTTCTTACAGAGCTTTTGTTAATGGTTTTAATTTTTTAAAACCAATTTACGTCTAAAGAAGTCAATGTGATATATTTATAAATAATTTTAATAAACGTAATTATTGCCTCAAAATTAAGTTCGACAGTTTTAAATTGACAGTTTTTAATTGACAAAATTTTAAAGAGATAATAGTAGAGATCTTGTAAGGTTTTTAAATGCTAATTTTTTACAAACAAATTCGTCAATAGAAGTCTCGCTTGTTCGTAGAAATCAGTGTTTCGGCCGGCCGAAACCTCCGAAACTTCCGAAACCTAGTTTCGCCAAAAGCCCCAAATCCGAAACTTCCGAAACCTCTGAAACTGGGCGAAACCTCGAAATTGCCAAAACTTCCGAAACTGCGTAACATGTGAAACAGGAGAAGCTAATAGCAATAAAATTACATCGGAAACTTCCGAAACTGGCGAAACTTCCGAAACTGGGGCGAAGCTTCCGAAATTGGACAAAACATCCGAAATTTTCAGAGTAGTTCCGAAATGATCCGAAGAAAATCATAAATTAGAATTCTAGAAGCTCAGTTTTGGAGGTTTTCGTCCAGTTTCGGAGGGTTTTCGCCCAGTTTCGGAGGATTTCGGCCAGTTTCTGAGGTTTCTGATTTTGGGCGATACCAAACGTTTCGGACTTTGGGAGGAGGTTTAGGCCGAAACACTGGAGAGCATTCAATAGTGCTTATAAAGCCAGAAATTCTTATGCAATAATCATCACCATAATATCTACAAACTCCATCATCTACATCACTTCATAATTGTACCCTCCCTTTCAAGCCAGCGTCTAATTGATCGAACTGCGGGTTATATTTCGTTCAACCAAAAGCCAATATTCGGTGTATTTATGATGATGCTTAAAATAGATGTGACATAACTTGTGTACTCAAATAATGATTTTGGATAATTAGGAGGATAATATTAAAAGAAATTAATGAAGCTTGTTCTTCAACATTCAATGCTAATAGACATATGCTTGATAATTTGTTGGCTCGCTCCATAATATTGGTATAATAAATTCTACATCAGCGGCGATTTACAATAAATTCTAAGATGAAACGGAAAGAATTAAATATTTCCAAGAGGCATTCGTTCGGTAATAATAATATTATTATTTTATTTTATTTTTTTTTGAAATAAAAAAGGGTTATTCCCTTGAAAAGAGAATGTAACAACGGACAAAAATAAGATTTTTATTGTATTTAGATTTGTACATTTCACTTGCCGATCAGATTTCAAACCAGTTACGTACGTACGTACGTAACAGACAGACGTTACGTTTGCGCCCCAATTTTTTTAACACTTTGAACTTTTGTGAAAGTGCTACAAGCTTCTTATAAATGGCAAATTCGAGTTTTTTTGTCCCGTGAAGTTCTTGGTTAGAGATCTTTATATACTCTATACTAGTTATTGAATTAAGTACGTACGTACTATTTAATGTAATTTTTATCGAATCCTTTTATCTAATCCATTTACAATAGAGTAACATCCCACCGTACACCTTACGAACATGCATTTTAGATATACTTTTTATCAGGGATGGTAAATGACCTGAAATGACCCAAATGACCCAAATGACAAATGACCAGTCATTGGGTCATTTCAAATTC